AACCTGTTTGATAAAAAACCAAGACATTAAAAAGTCAAACATCCACAGGATACAAGAGATTTTTTAAATTTTGTCTTATCCATGAGTTGAGAAGGCACACTTGAGTATATAAAACTGCTTATTCAAATAATAATGGCTAATATGGCTAACATTTATGTCTTAGGTGCTTTACCATCAATTCACTTAATCCTCATGGGCACTCGAAGGCATTTTCTACTGTTACAATGGTTATTGGTTAATGATACTTGGATGGCAAAGCAGTTTCCAGATAAAAACCCAAACCTATAGTGCTGCTAACTCACTTGTTTTTATATACCCAGACACCAAGTTTGTCCTTTGATGATGGAGGAATTCCTTGGCAGTCAATTCTTTCCCAGTGTAATACTCGGTCTGTAGACCTTGAATCCAGCATGTAGAACTGTCAGAAGCAATGATTTCAGTTAGATTTGGTTACATAAAAGAAATTCAACGTTGGCATTTAATTTTATTGCGTTCATGCTAATAAGACTGTCATCTAATTCAGTACTACTAAAAGTAGTACTGCAGACTGGCTGCTTGTCTGCAAAGTGTTAACTGAGTCTAGATAAGAAATTTTTGCCAGAATGTAAATTACCTAAGTCACTGTGTACCCTGTTTAGTTCAGCTTATTTTTTTCCTATACCACACTTTTTTGATGAAGGAATAGAACGTGTGTTGATTTACATTCTTGGCCTTAGATAGGCACTTTGAGTTGTACTGATCTAATTTACGGGTATCAGGATGGTATTACCAAAAAATCAGACTTAGTAATTCATCTTCAAATTCAATTTAACAAACATGTCTTAAGTGCCTACTTAACTCTAGGAGCTAAGGATAAATCTTAAAAGATTAAGTATTCATCTATCTTTCACATCCAGGTATTTAAATAAATCTGACTTTTTTTTTTTTTTTACTTAGACTCCTAAAGCTCCCTTTCCTCAACTCTAGTCAGTTACTACTATCATTTCTCTGACCACTCCCCTAAAGCCACAGCTTCTCTTTTTCCCAAGCTTCCTCATGTTGTGTCAAACTTAGATTCTCCCCCTTGGCCCTGAAAAATACATGGCTCAACTACAGCCTACAGTAGGGCCTCACAAAACCTTTTAAGCACGGAACCCTTCAAACAAAATCTTAAAGCAAAAGCCTAAATATAAAAATAAGGGCGCTTCCCTGGTGGCACAGTGGTTGGGAATCCGCCTGCCAATGCAGGGGATGCGGGTTCGGGCCCTGGTCCAGGAAGATCCCACATGCCGCGGAGCGGCTGGGCCCGTGCGCCACAACTACTGAACCTGTGCTCTAGAGCCTGCAAGCTGTAACTGCTGAGGCCTGTACACCTGGAGCCTGTGGTCCGCAGCGGCCACACACTGCAACAAAGGGTGGCCCCCACTCGCCACAACTAGAAAGAGCCCGCGTGCAGCAACGAAGGCCCAACAGAGCCAAAAATAAAAATAAAATAAATTATTAAAAAAAAATAGGGCTTCCCTGGTGGTGCAGTGGTTGAGAGTCCACCTGCCAATGCAGGGGACACGGGTTCGTGCCCCGGTCCGGGAAGATCCCACATGCCGCGGAGCGGCTAGGCCCGTGAGCCACGGCCGCTGAGCCTGCGCGTCCGGACCCTGTGCTCCGCAGCAGGAGAGGCCACAACAGTGAAAGGCCCACGTAACGCAAATAATAATAATAATAAGGGCCTGAAGAAATGGCTCCTCTGTTTACAACATACCCAACAGGAATCTGGGTTCATTGTGACAAGAGGCACAAAACTTGTGGCCTTCCTATGAGCAAATATCCAACACATGTCCCCCTGCACCTCCACGTGGCTGCTAGGCAGGACCAGTGGGACAGGGCTCAATATTGGAAGAAAAGCTACAGTATTTAGTGGGGAAGTTTGCCGCCAAGAGCCTGTCAGGTCCACTCATGCATGGGCCATGAATGGTCTTATAGACATAAAGGCTTTGAACCTCTCTTTTCAAGGAAAAAGAAAAATAGATTCCAATTATGTCATCTGGAAAAGGCAAAACTATGGAGACAATAAAAAGATCGATGGGGCTTCCCTGGTGGCACAGTAGTTGAGAGTCCGCCTGCCACAGGGGACACGGGTGCCCCGGTCCGGGAGGATCCCACATGCCGCGGAGCAGCTGGGCCCGTGAGCCATGGCTGCTAAACCTGCGCATCCGGAGCCTGTGCTCCGCAACGGGAGAGGCCACAACAGTGAGAGGCCCGTGTACCGCAAAAAAAAGAAAAAAAAAAGATCGATGGTTGCCAGGAGTTTGGGGGGAGAGGAGAGATGAATACACGGAGTACAGAAATTTTTATGAGCAGTGAAATACTTCATATGACATTATAATGATGGATATATCTCATTATATTTGTCCAAACCCACAGAACGTGCAACACTATTCAATTAAAGTGAACCCCAAAGTGAATTGTGAATGAATAAATAAATTAAATTAAAGTGGAGCTACACTTGTTAAAATGGAGGAGGAAGGGGCAGTCTGGAGCCTGCCCAACACCATATGCTCCTCTCACACACGTCCCAAGGCATCTCAAAGAAATCCCTAGAGTTCCTAGAAGTGCAGTGTGAAATTTGAAACCACTTCAGCCATATGCTCATCTACAGCAAATCACTTGGCATGTCCATGAACAAGATATTTGCTTATACCTCTGCATCTTGGCACCTATATCTTGGCTACCCCTTCCAATTGTATGATTCTATTCAAGCATCACCTCTTCGGTGAAGACTCTTCATTTTTCTGTTCCTCTGTCCTACCAAACACAATGGTAAGGATTCTTTTTCAGATTCAACAATTTTTACTGAGCCATTACTACGAGCCGACTCTGTGTTTCTCTTTATGATATGCTACTGAAATCGTTTACTTATATGTGTCCCTTCTAGAATGTGAGCTCCTAGAGGCGGGGACGGTGTCATTCATCTCTGTCTCCAATGTCTAAGCAAGTGCTCAGCATTAAGGTGCTTACTAAGTTGCCAAATAAATGAATTTTTAAGAGTCTATCTATATCACATGCACCCTTCTGACTGCATCTGTCTCTTACTGGCCTGAGAGAAAAACTGATACCTTTTTCCTATTCGGTAAAGATGTAGACTAAGTCTGAACAACAGTATCTTATGGTGCCAGGTTATAGGAATGTTAGTATATAAAATCTGTCAGTGTTAATTTCTCCTTATGGCTTTTTGAGTTGTGGCATGTTAAATTTTACCCTGCCCGCCCCCTTAACTGCATCTTGTTTTCATTTAGTTTACTAATATTCATACTAATGAATACTCCAGGGTTCTGAAAGAATAAGTAGCTGCAAAGAACACAAAGAAAAACAACCTAGGAAGTTACTGCACACAACTTACCAACCAAAGCTGATTTTACAGAAGGCCCAGGTAAATACCGGCTGGTAGACAAAAATACTAAAATGCACATTCATACCATAATCAAGTACATGTATTTTTTAACTGGAACAAGAATAAGTATGGGCTAACCTTAGAAATCTGAAGTTGTCTGAAAAAGAACAAAGTTGCCTTAAACCATAATCCTTAGAAACACTAACCTTATTCGTATTGCCTCTTGAATGGTGTCCTCCAAACAAGTACAGCACCCTGTCTACACACACAGCACAGCTTCCTGACATAGAAGGAGGAACATCACCCTCAGTGTTAATTTTTTTCCTAAGGGGGAAAAAACTGAATGTAAATAGATTTCCCAAAAAGGAAGAAATGCAAAAATCTATTCATTCTTCTAATTCTATTCCCACAATAAAAGAAAAAATAAAATAAGCGGGCTGAGTAGCTATGTCGAGGGTCTCTTCTAGCTCTAAAGTTAGTTAAAAGAATGAACTCATCCCTTTCATCCATTCCACAGGCTGTGCCAGCAGGTACTTACACATGGCAGCATGGGAGGTTCTAAAAGCCTACGTGTCATTTTATTCTAGGAGCAAACCATCTTACATTTCTCAAATTAAATTGTTTGCTTTCTACTTACTTGGCCATTAATGGTTTTTTGATGGTTTTTTGTTTTTGAGTGGGCCAAGAACCCAAAAGAAAAAAAACTTCAGTATGTCAGTCCTGACAGATTAATAGGTGTTTTTAATTCAGTTACCTTTTAGCCATTCAAACGAATCTGTTTCAGACCTTATGTAATACTCCCAACACTCAGGCAGTGCCTACTATAGGCCAGGCCCTCCTCTGAGTGCTCTTTACATGTTTTAACTCGTTCTGAATCTAAAAGTGAATCTGAATCAAAAAGCTAATAATCCTAAGATTCAGAATATTAATACAACACTCAAGGTCTTTTGCTCAGAATATCACTTCATCTATGCTAACTAAGCTTTAAGTTTTTTATTTGTTTTTGGCTGTGCCATGTGACACACAGGATTTTAATTCCCCAACCAGGGATCGAACCCTTGCCCCCTGCAGTGGAAGTGTAGAGTCCTAACCACTGGACCGTCAAGGAATTCCCAAGCTTTGTTTTGATAGGCTTAATTTGTAAAATTCCTTATGGGGCTGAATTGTTAAAAGAAAATATTAGAATTTCCATATTAAAGGAATACTATTATAAATGTCCAATTCTCTAGAAAAAGATCATCAAACAGCTAGATTAACACTGACTGGCTATGTGCAAAAATAATCCTGGTTTACTTTTAGTTGACCTTTTAAATCAAGTGGAACTACTATTCTCCTAGTTCTGAGATCTCTAATATGCTGAAGTATGTAATGCACAAAGTTTTCACAAACCAAACCATGGAGAAAACTACTTTATAAATCCCTAAACACAGCCAACCCAGTATTTTGAGAATCACATTAATTCTGCTAAGAACATACTCCAGTAATACTGGTATGAAACTGGCAAAAGGTCCTTTCAGAATATCCATAGTTTGTATGCAAATTTAAGTTAATTTTGTTTTTTAGGCAAAATGTACTATTTCAAAGGGATTTGCATAGAAATTTTAATATTAGAGCTCATTGAAATAGAATACTACCTTTATTTCTAGCAGATACAATCTGGAAATTCTTTTCTCATTCAAGATAGCACACAACAAAGACAACATCTTGAAAAAAAAATATATGGAACTTTTATTATATTTCCATTCCAGGATTTGAAGCCTCCACCTCTTTAATATTACTATAATACTTGACACAGCTCTGAACAGAAATTTCTTCAAGGTCATAAAAGCATCTAGTAATTACTGAACTACTAAAGAGATGCAAAAGCATCTAAGCTTAGCAGCTAAGCTAAACTAGCAGAACACTGTTTTCAGAATATATAGATAGCTTAGCATCTTTAATTAAAGCATTTTTATACATTAGTGTGGGTTTTACAGAGTATGTTTTTGTTTGCAACCTTATTTGGATTTTTTTAGTCCCCCTCATAATATCCAGTTACCATCTTCCAGTCTCCATGTTGTAGATCCAGAGTTCTTCTCTAGGCAGATAAAAGTCATATAATCCTCTGACTTGATTACTCTAAGAAAAAACAAAGAAACAAAAAAAAATTGCAAATATAAAAAATAATTTGTATTCTAAAGAGGCACTATTGTGTATTTTATATTGTATATTGTATATATATTGTATATCTTATTTGAGATACTGAGAGTTATGAAAAGTTAAATAGGTTATAACAGTTCTATCAAATGCACAATCCTCCCTGCACCATGCCACATACTCAAGGTAATGCTTAATATAGACAGCCCTCAATTCAAATTTTTGATATAGCAGTTGTAATTGTGCAGGAAGTTACGAGATCTCCAGGTAATCTCTAAGGCCACTTTATCCTGAATAGTCCATGCACCAAATCTCACTTGCATGACTTCATGAGAGATTACCTGTGCCATGGTCAGCACGCTAAAGAAAGGTCTGCCTTCGACGTACCTAATCCTTGGGGCTTCCCTCATGGCGCAGTGGTTTTAAGAGTCCTCCTGCCAATGCAGGGGACACGGGTTCGATCCCTGGTCCAGGAAGATCCCACATGCCGTGGAGCAACTAAGCCCGTGTGCCACAACTACTGAGCCTGCGCTCTAGAGCCCGTGAGCCACAACTAAAGCCTGCGTACCTAAAGCCCGTGCTCCGCAACAAGAGAAGCCCGCGCACCGTAACAAAGAGTAGTGCCCGCTCGCCGCAACTAGAGAAAGCCCACGCGCAGCAACGAAGACCCCACGCAGCCAAAAATAAATAAAATAGAGAAATTAGAAAAAAAAAAAAGTACCTGATCACTAACAGGTGATGTAGAGTTTTCTAGCCATTCTCCCCTTTCACCCATCCATTCTCCACCAAGAAGCAGAGAGGGCAGAACTGAAAATATTAAGTCCCCATGCAAAATTTTGTTCTTGTTCTGATCCAGTTCCCTTCAGGTAACAGACTGAGCTTACCATATGCCAGAACTAGCTAAGTGCTGTCCATGGAGTGCTTTATTTAATCCTCACAACCACCATAAGAAATAGCTGGCACAGGTTTTTCAAAGAGGAAGGTGATTTGCCCAAGGCTGCTTAGCAAGGGACAGTGGAACCAGGATTCCCGCCTCCATTCCCTGCATTTGCAACTTCAGCCACTGCCTGAGCCACTTTCTGAACAATGTCGATATACAGTAAACTGTTGCAGTTCACTGAAATGGGTGTCAGAGACTTACAAGTTTGAGTATTACAGAGAATTGAACATCTGGCCATGTAAACATTTCTCTTTCCACTCCACCACTTAGGAAAGGAAAGGCTGGAAGCAAAACAGCAGGCTGAGGGCTTCCCTGGTGGCACAGTGGTTGAGAGTCCGCCTGCCGATGCAGGGGACACGGGTTCGTGCCCCAGTCCGGGAAGATTCTACATGCCGCGGAGCGGCTGTGCCCGTGAGCCATGGCCGCTGAGCCTGTGCATCCGGAGCCTGTGCTCTGTGATGGGAGAGGCCACAACAGTGAGAGGCCCGCTGACCTGGAATACATCAGGCTGGTGGGAGGAGGAAAACTGACTTCTGTGTAGGAAGCTAAGGTTTATTGCCATCAAAACAATCTCCAAGGGCTTCCTGTTTGTGGTACTCTTAGGGTTCTAACCAAAATGGGGAGGATGGCCTGTTTTGGAACCACCAACTTACTTCATTGATCATGCTTCTCCACTGGCCTCAGCCCTAGGCATCCAGGCCCTCCACAACTCAGCTTCAGAAATCTTCCACCCTGACAACCCTCCTTCTGCCCACCTTCCTTCTTTGTGAAAAGTCCCATTCCCTCAACACTGCTGAGTTTTACAAATAGAATTACAAATAAAGTAGTTTAGGCTGAAGACTAACACGTTTACTTTTCTCCAAGGGAATTATTTACGTTTTAATTAAGGTCACCACATACTGGCCACCTTCCTCCTACCAAATACTCTCCTCTGAACACATTCATTGGAGGCTGGGGAAAACATTCCAGATTAATTAGGATTGGCAAAAAGGAACCAAATGAAGTAATTAGGAAAGCTTTATCCCATCTATCTTTTTTTTTTTTGTGGTACGCGGGCCTCTCCGGTTGTGGAGCACAGGCTCCGGACGCGCAGGCTCAGCGGCCATGGCTCACGGGCCCAGCCGCTCCGCAGCATGTGGGATCTTCCCGGACCGGGGCACGAACCCGTGTCCCCTGCAACAGCAGGCGGACTCGCAACCACTGCGCCACCAGGGAAGCCCCCATATATCTTTTGAGAGTCATCTCAAAGACGGTCAACTATGATCAACTGTACCATAAGCTAAAATCTACTACCAGAATCAAGAAGTGCTTCCAAGTCATGGAAGGTACAGGTGTAGCAGACTAGATTTCAAGCAAATGGGGACGGGGGGAGATCATTTTTAAAACCAAAAGAGACTAAAAATATTTTCGGTAGGAAGAGATCAGAACCACCCCAGCAAATGAAAATAAGACGATTCTAGAATGTGGAGTGCTACTGGGAACCTCTAAAAGCAAAGGTCAGAACTAGTGAGAAGGTTTAAATAGGAGACACTTGAGTAGGATTTCCAGACAGAGGAAAAAAGAAGAAACGCAAGTAAATGCTCTAAACTGGTAACTAATCAGATTGTTCACGAGTAGGGGCCAAAGAGCCGCACTCTGTAGTTAAAGTTGTTCCTGTTGATTTTTTCGGTTATTTCTAGAGCTTTTCCATTAATTTTCTTAATAGGGATTTCTTGTGAAAAACATCCTTTCTCAGCTGAAACCAAGAGGAAAATAGCCCTGAAGCGTTCCAATAACAATGGGATGTAGCTGGGACGCCTGAACAGGTGGGAAGGTTCAATAAGGCGATTCCTGCGGCCTTTGGGAATTCCGAGGCATTTTCCTACACTGCCGTCTCCCCATAAGTGGGCCACGGTATCAGTGGGCCACCTGAGCCCGGCTCCACAGGGTAATGTGCTCCTAGGTAGACCTGATAAAGGATAAGAGTGATCTCACACACCGTTACCTCTTATACACCCCCAACCCTTTTAAATAAAACACATTTCGCCGTCCTGCACCGCCCGCCGTGCCCTCCCCAGATGACGCTCGGATGTCAAACAGCGCGCAGGGCGGCCACGAGCAGCGTGGGACGGGGAGCGGGCTTTGTAAGCAGAAGGCGGGCGTGACAACAGACCAGGAGGCTTGGGACGGTAGGGAGACCCGTGGGAAGATTCCCACACTCGCGGAGAACAAGGGACCAACGGGCGGAGTCGCGACGTTGGGGCGCGGGAGGCGATCGAGGCGGCCGCTCTGGTCCTCCCGCCGGCCCACCGCCCCCGACCCAGTAACAGCCGAGCGACACCCGCCGCGGCCCGGCCACCTACTGACCTTGTAGCCGCCCCAGACGAACATGTGGCGCCCGTCGCTGACGGCTACGTGGCCGCTGCGTTCAGCGGGGCAGGCGAGTTCCGCGGACTCGTAGCCCTCATAGGCCGGCCCCGGGAGCTCGTCCTCCCGCAGGTCCTCGTAGCCATCGGCCATCTTGAGGCTGCACTTCGGCTCACCGACAATTCCCGCACCCGCGACGGAGGAAAAGACAAAGGAAAAGGAAGGAGACGCACGGTGGCGCGAGGCGAGGCGGCGGTGGCGAAAGGCACAGCGTTAGGGCCGCTCCCCGCCGCCCGCGCTCGCGTCCTCGCGGCCCGCCTCACCGAGGACGGCCTCTCGCCGGCTGGCGGGGGTCGCGGGCGGGGGGCGGCGAGGACGCAGAGCCGGGAGCAGGGCGGGCAGGGGTCCGCCTCGGGCCGGTACCTGCTTCCAGCCCCTCCGCCCCACCTCCAGCTTGCTTCTCGCCGCAGACGGCCTTTGTTTACGCCGCGGCAGGAACCGCCCGTTCCGCTGACGCCGCTCGCCCAGTTCCGGAAGCGCGGCCGACGCTTAGCTTCCCCAGCGCCGGGTCATCCCAACCCCTTCTCCCGGACGGCCCGGTTCTGGGGCGCCCCGCCCTCTTCTTCGCCCGCCGAAGTCTAGGCGCAGAAGCTGGGGGCACTTCCACGCACACTCCGCGCCTCCCTTCACTACAAGGATAGGCTGAATTAGCCAGATTCTCGCAAAAAATGTTTCTTCCAAGAAGGCCTTGTTTGACTGAGGGATGTTCTCAAAGGTTTCACAGCCGGGAAAGGGGTAGCAAATTGCTTAACTAGTAAGTTTCTGGTCTCAGGGTCTCCAGAGTCAGAGCCCTGTCTTCCCGAGGACAAGGGGTGGGAGTGGCTCCTCTCCTCTCCCAGGTGGTCCCAGCCCTATTGCTGGGCGGCTTCCCGGCGGAGGTGCCGCTCGGTGCGCGTGGCATCTCTGGGATTGCGTGCCACCCCGACTGTGCCTGCAGAGCGGTTCACGACATCTCCTCTCTGTAAGGTCTTTTGGTTCAGCTGAAATCTTAATTTACTGCTGCATCCTCCACACAGTTTGGAAAACTGTGCTCAAAAAGTGCCTCAGAAACCTTCACCACCCAAGCCTTCAGGGAGGAAAATGAACCCTGTTCACACAGATACTGTTTTAGCTTACATTTAATATGATACTTTTCAATTAGGTCAAGAGAAAATTAAGAATCATTGTAATCTAAATTTGATTTCTCACCTGTAAAACGGGGTTAGACTAGACTGCATCTTAAATCCCTAATCTAATGGTGCCTCTCTACTTGGATGTATTTGGTGAGAGGAGTGTGCTTCATTATCCTCTCCCTTCCCCATCTTCACGCTGGGACCATTATGTAGAAGGAATACTTCAAACAACAACATCAAAAGGCTTTTCTCACGAAAATTTTCGGAGTATGTAATTTCTTCCCTAGCCACTGCCCCTGTGTTTACAACTTATCAAAATTTGCGGGGTGGGTAAAAACAGTACTGAGAAATTTATAGCAGTGAGTGCATATATTAGAGAAGAAGAAAGATCTAAAATCAATCACCTAAGTTTACATCTTAGGAAACTAGAAAAAGAGGAACGAATTAAATCCAAAATAAGAGGAAGAAAAATAATGAAATTGATGAAAAGAAAGAAACCAATGAAACTGAAAACAGGAAATCAATAGAGAAAAGCAATAAAACCAAAAGCTGGTCCTTTGCATAGATAATGAAATCAATAAACCTCTAGCCAGGCTAACTAAGAAAAAAAGACACAAATTACTAATATCAGAAATGAAACAGAGGACATCACTATAGATCCCATGGACATTAAAAAGATAATAAATACTATGAAGAACTCTATGCCTATATATTTGATAAACTAGATGAAATGGTCTGATTCCTTGAAAGACACAATCTGCCAATACTCATATAAGAAGAAATAGATAATCTGAACAGGCCTATATCTATTAAAGAAATTGAATCAATAATAGCCTTCCAAAACAGAAAGCACAGGCCCAGATGGGTCCATGGATAAATTCTAACAAACATTTAAGGAAGAAATTATCTACAATCTCTTTGAGAAGACAGAAGCAGAGAGAATACTTCCTAACCCATTCTGAAACCAGCATTACCCTAATACCAAAACCAGACAAAGACATCACAAGAAAACAACAGACCAATATCTCTCATGAACATATATGCCAAAACCCTCAACAAAATATTAGCAAATCAAATCCAAAAAATTAAAAAAGAATTATATACCACAACCAAGTGGGACTTATCCCAGGTATACAAGGCTGATTCAACATGCAAAAATCAACCAGTGTGGGACTTCCCTTGTGGCACAGTGGTTGGGAATCTGCCTGCCAATGCAGGGGAGACGGGTTGGAGCCCACATGTCACAGAGCAGCTAAGCCTGTGCGCCACAACTGCTGAGCCTGCGTTCTAGAGCCCATGAGCCACAACTACTGAGCCCACGTGCCCCAACTACTGAAGCTCGCATGCCTAGAGCCTGTGCTCCACAACAAGAGAAGCCACCGCAATGAGAAGCCTGTGCACCGTGGCAAGGAGTGGCCCCCGCTCACTGCAACTACAGAAAAGCCCGCACGCAGCAGCGAAGACCCAACGCAGCCAAAAATCAATTAATTAATTAATTTAAAAAAATCAACCAATGTAATCCACCGTATCAACAAGCTAAAGAAGAAAAATCACATGATTACATTAATAGATGAAGAAAAAGCATTTAACAATATCCAACACCTATTCATGATATCAAAAAAAAAAGCTCTCAGCAAACTAGGAATAGAGAGGAACTTCCTTAACTTGATAAGGAACATCTACAAAAAAACCTACAGTTAATATTATCCTTGGGCTTCCCTGGTGGTGCAGTGGTTAAGAATCTGCCTGCCAATGCAGGGGACACAGGTTCAAGCCCTGGTCCGGGAAGATCCCACATGCCGTGGGGCAACTAAGCCCGTGCGCCACAACTACTGAGCCTGCGCTCTAGAGCCTGCGAGCCACAACTACTGAGCCCACATGCCACAACTACTGAAGCCTGCACTCTGCAACAAGAGAAGCCAACACAATGAGAAGCCCACGCACCGTAACTAAGAGTAGCCCCCACTCGCCGCAACTAGAGAAAGCCTGCATGCAGCAATGAAGACACAACACAGCCAAAAATAAATTAATTAAATAAATAAATTAAAAAATATATATTATCCTTAATGATGAGAAACTAGAGGCTTTCTTACTAAGATCAGGAACAAGGAAAGGATCCCCTCTCACAACTTTTCAACATCCTACTGGATGACCTAGCTAATGCAGTAAGACAAGAAGAGGAAACAAAAGGTTGGGAAGGAAGAAATAAAACCGCTTTTGTTCATGACAAATCATAGACACACAATTGTCTATATAGAAAATTGTAAAAAATTACTGTGGTACATTGAGACAATAGAATATTATTGAGTGCTGAAAAGAAATAAGCCATCTTTTCAAGCCATGAAAAGACATGGAGGAAACTTAAATGCATATTACTAATGAAATAAGCCAATCTGAAAAGGGTACGTTCTGTGTAATTCTAACTGTATAACATTATGGAAAAGACAAAACTATGAAGACAATAAAATATCCGTGGTTGCCAGGTTTAGGGGGGAGGGAGGAATGAATGGGCAGAGCACATAGGATTTTTAGGCAGTGCAACTAGTCTGTATGATACCATAAAGCAGGGGTCCCCAACCCCCGGGCCACAGACCGGTACCAGTCCGCACAGCAGGAGGTGAGTGGCTGGTGAGCGAGCGAAGCTTCATCTGCTGTCCCCCATCACTCCCCATCACTCACATTACTGCCTGAACCATCCCCCACCACCCCACATCTGTGGAAAAACTGGCTTCCACAAAACCAACTGGTCCCTGGTGCCAAAAAGGTTGGGGACTGTTACTACACATTTGTTTAAACCCATAAAATGTACACCACCAAGACTGAACTCTAATGTAAACTGTGGACCTCAGATGTGTCTTAGCTCAAGCAGCTATAACAAAATACCATAGACTGGATGGCTTAAACAACAGACATTTATTTCTCACAGTTCTAGAGGCTGGGAAGTCCAGGATCAAGGTGCTGACAGACTTGGTTCTTAATGAGGGCCCTCTTCCTGCCTTGCAGACGGCTGCCTTCTCATTGCATCTTCATGTGATAGGGACAGAGAAGGAGAGCTCTGGTCTCTTCTTCTTCTTATAAGTACACTAATCCCATCATGGGGTCCCCACCCTCATGACCTCACCTAAACCTAATTACCTCCCAAAGACACCACCTCCAAAAACCATCACATTGGGGATTAGGGTTTCAACATATGAATTTTGTGGGGATACAAACATTCAGTCCATTACTTGGGTGATTTAAAAAATGTTCTTGCTGCACCCACATGCTGGACCGTTTGATAACTTCATCAAATTGGAAATTCCAATAGAATCACATTAATACAATGAAAAAACAGGCACCAAAAAAAAGTGGGAATGGGGTACTATTTGTTTCTTAAAACTGTTTCTTTTCCTGTGAAGTGTTCTGAAATCAAAATTTTAATTTTTCAGACCCTATGTACTACCCTGAAAATTATTCTATCTTAGTGAGTTTATTTTATTTCTCTCTCACACATACATACATATAAATAATGTATTGGTGAAAACATCACTTTGTTCCTGGGCTGACAGTATGAAGTTCTAAAGAATATTTTTAAGCTTCTATCAAAAGGCTAATAATTTTTTAAATGTGCTTATGCAAAGATACGATCTGTAAAAAATGTACACTAACTCTGATATGCCATTTACTATATCATTCTAAAAATGGTAATACCTCAAAAGAATCCTTCCTGACAACTGGAAGAGTATCCTGATACACATAATAAAGATGGCCAGAAATTCTTTTTCCTTGAGAATCAGACTGGAAACCTATTTTGTGAACCACCTGAAAAAAAAAAAAAAAAAAAGTCAACCCTCTAGAGTCATCTTTCAAGCAGAGAACCCGTAAGGGAGAGTTAAGAGAGAAAGTTATGAGGCTGATGTTGCCTTGGGTTCCTATACACCGCACAGGTCAACAACACATAAGTTGATAGTAAACCATAAGTGCTAAGAAGTGAGGAATGAATACTGCTTGACTAGGGATCTTCAAAACTGGCTTTGCCAGCTCGCAGAGTTTCTACATCTCCTAATAGCAGGGAAGCCCTGCTATAAGCCAAGTTTTGGAAATTGAAGATCAGATTAGAATTCCCTGCCACTCCTACTATGGGGCTACCTCAGGACATATAACTTTTTGAAGCAGTACAATATATTAAGTCAAATAAGAAGAGTACCAGTTTTGTGTGCCATAAATAATATATAGATTTTCATTCTCTTGAAGCCTAAACGAAGAGTGTGTGTTTTGAGGGGGGTTAATCTAACTTTTAGTGTTTAGGTAAACCGTTTAAAAACAGAAGTGCTTCTCTAAGAGGCTAGAGAAGACATTCACACAACCCAGAAGCCATTTTAAAAAGCATTCATCCCACTCAGTGTCATCTATCACTGTCTAATATGTTTTGATATTTTTTCCTTATAGAATGCCAAATACTGAAGTTCATAGTAATAAAATATTACTTCTAAGACCCATATTACCTATGAGATTATAAATCTGTTATTCAGCCTGAAAATAGTAAGAAAAAATGAAAACTTACACTGAAATATTGTTTGCACAATCAATTCTAATGACTGGTTCACACTAACAAAACTAGGAAAATAGTAATTCTATATAGTTTGTATAATAAATAAAATGTAAACACAAAATATTTCAATACATAAATAGAAGCTTTACACATCTAAAAGACAGTACATACATATAAAATATATCTCTACAATGTAGTGAGATCTATAAACTACTGTAATTTTCATTATAAATTATACATGCACTTCAATACAGAAATATATTTACTCCAACGTTTTAAATTTCAGAGTCAACGTGCATGGTGGTATGGTAGACAGTAATTTTATATACCAAATTCTTAGTAATTCCTTGTTATTAGTAATTCAATGGATGGGTACAACTGTGATATGTGAACAACTTCTTAACCATGGCAAAAGTACTATTTAAAGAACATAAAGATAAATATTCATGTTCCATTTCTTTATAGGCAGTTAATACTGAAAAGAAATGGGAAGATAACATATTTTGAATATCCTGGGTCTTGAGCACCAACTCTGTAGAATGGTGTGGGCCAAAACGAGGGGTTTCTAGAAAGGCAAATTACTAGGTTATCATCCCATTTCATAATTCACTGAAAGTTACTTTAGAAGTATTCCCCCAAGGCAAAATGTATCTTCAGGTGTCTCTGAAGTTAATAGCTATACTGCCTCTCAATATTTCAAAGCTTGTATGACAAATAAATCTCCACTTTAGACACTTTCAAACATGGTCTTTATATACATATAAAATGGGACAAACTAACAACTCAGAGGTAACAGAAAAACAACTGAAGACATTTATTCCCCTACTCAAAGGTGAGGAAGAATACTTTACTAGATAAGTGCTAAAAGGGTAGGAGTTCAATATTTAATCCCATAGCAGTGCTTGCCTATTTTATCATTTTGGCCAGCTGTATTAGTTATTTAAGGAGAAGTTCTTTAAATACCCGAGTCATTTAATGGGAAGCTTTATGTAATTTTAAAGTGACTTGAGAAAAATCTATTCTTTCTGAAAGTTGATATGAGGTGTTTTTATATATCTATCTATCTTTAGGTTGGGGAATCTCTAAAGTCCTTGGGGTAATTTCTTATTCTCCTCAAATCTGTATAATCTTTCCAGTAAAGAAGACACAGTGAGTTAAAGTCTCTTACAATTATACTTACTTTCAGAAAGTAGATTTTTTTTCTGCAGCTTATAAGGAAATTAATTTACGTTAACTTACAAATATAAATACAAATGAATCTGCCATTAACATCTTCTTCCTATATATCTCATGCCATACAATCAGTTTAACATAGAATTTTTGTTTCAAATTTTATCTTCTAAATCAAGCCTCCAATCTGGGGGGTAAATATACAGTCTGATTAAAATGTTTAAACATATTAAATACATAGAGTATACAACAACTTAATTGCTACTGATCCACTGATACTTATTTTCTGTTTCTTCTTTTTGGGCTCTTTGTTCTTCTCGGTGATTAACTGCAGTCCAAAATGTTATTTTTTTGAGTACTTGTTGGAGAAGTTTAGGAGGTAATAAAGATATCTGACTTTCTAAAATTATAGCATTTTTACCAATGCAGTCAAGGCATGACCTGTAAACAAAACATAACAGAATTATTAGTTTTTGAACCTGAACTTATAAAATATTTATAGGTAAGTAATATACAAAATAAAACTATAAAAATTTTACACGATTATGTACTCCCCTGGTATTGTTTGGAACATGACAGGATATATATTCTTTCCACAGCACCACAGTAATTGTATATTTTTATAGCATGGGGACCATATCTGACCAAAATCCAGGTACAACTTACCATGCATAATGTTCTTTAAATAAAAAAGATTCAGACTTAATTCTGAAGCAGGTTAGTCTGAAGCAGACCCGTTTTCACACATCCTTCCAGCCCAATAACAATTTACTCCTCTCTGCGAGCTGTCTTCTTCTTCCATCACCCCAAGATGCAGCACCTGGTGTCCATTTTATACCCTGTGACCCGGCCCTTCCCGTACCCCCTCCAGAAACGACTACACTGGTCTGATGGACAGCCACCCTGAGTCCCAGCCTCAAAGGCAGGCACATGCAGTCTGTCTTTGCTCTTCCTCTCATTTCTATACTGGTTCATCTTCCCTATCACTGCTTATCTCCCCTTCCAAACCTCTCCTTTCTGCTTTTTGGAACACCAGCTGTGTCTACAAACACCCCTGCTTCCTGTGACTTTCTGTCTTTGCTTTAAGTGAAATCTAAGAAAATTGCTTTGTGCGCAGCCTTCTGGAGGAAAGAGGACAAATTTCCCCTCAGCTCTGTTTTCACAGTCAGGAGCCAGTATTAGTATGTATTCTCTTCGCCCCTCACTGCTGCTTCCAGGCTGCGATCATTTTGCCGTCGGGTGTTGCCATCTATTAACCTCCCGCTCATTCTCCCCCATCGCTGAGGATTCTGGCCCTGGACTCATCACAGTCTTGTCTCTTGACTGATTTTAGCATCTGTGTGGAAAACCCTTTTTACTCTTATGACCTTACTCAGGACAGTTCCACCTCTGAAATCTTAAACTTCCATATCCTCCTCTTGGACCATAAGCCTGTATCTTTTTAACTCTTACACCCCTTTACTCCTTTGACTCTTCCCGGTTCTCCAAATAATAAGACCCCTCTGGTTGTGACTTTCTTTCCTATCCGGCCTGTCCACATGCACTTCATAGTGCATCCATGTGCACGTTCCCGTCCACATGCACTTCAATCTCCTGCCAGCAATTTTCATCTCCTTCTGCACTGTCCCTCTGTTATGCCATCCTGGTTAAACTCCAACCACGGATAAACTCAACCATCTCCTTTCTGCGCTTGCAACCTGGCTTCTTAGTGCGGCTGGAGAAAACCACATTTCTGCAGACGTGGCCCACGGCATATCGATTTTGTTCCATCTCCGCTGAGCCCTCCTGAGTGCTCGGCACTACGATGTTACACATCCCTTGGCAGCATTCTGCCCCCAGTCACCTCAGCGGCTATGTCACGTCTTCATCGCCCTCCTTAAGTTCACATCCTTACCTCTCCTCCTCCTCAGACGACCTCACCATCAGCCAAAACCTTCTCAGTGCCCTGCCCCCAACCAAGAAATTCATCTATTTTCATAGCTATATTTCCTTCTTTCGCCATTATTATTATCCCTTCCTCCAGTCAAGGGATAATTCTATTACCTGTTTGCTAAAATCGACCTCCTCAAGAGCCTACTCCATTCATTTATTCTGTTTCCAACAACTTAGTCCCCGATGGCTGCTTCCCTGAGCACAGAAACAAATATGCTCACTCCTTCCCGGGTCGTGGTGCTCGTCCCCAGAAGTCATCCTGGCTTCCCCCTTTACCTTACCAACCTCTTAGTGCTGCCAAACTCCACGGCACTTGTCAATCCAGATGTTCCGTGACCTCCTTACAGTAAGCAGATGCTCCATCTCCAGTTCTCTCCTCGCTCAGTTTTTGTGCTCGTTATCTCCTGCTTCACCTCTAACTCTGGTCACTCTCCTGTGCCTCCTTGTCCTCTACCTTCTCTTCAAATGTTATGAGTTCTTAATGCTCAGCCGTTGGCTTCACCCTTTCTCTCAAAACTCTTCCTGGGCAGAGCTAACCCATACCCATTCACACTCCAGTGATTCTTAAATCTTTATGTCTAGCCTGGACCTTACTCCATTTATTCAGTTAGTAACTATTTAATGGAACGCTCTGTTGCAAGTCCCATAAGCACTTCAAGCTCAATATGCCCAAAACCAAGTTCATCATTTCTACCCCATCCCACCTGCAAACCCAATGCCTTCTCCATACTCTATCACTAATTCTTCCCTCTTCTTTCCCTTAGCATCCATTCAGCTACCAAGTCCATTCAGCCTGCTAAATATCTCTACCTCCCTCCCTTCTCCAGCCCCACTGCCACTTTCTAAATCAGACCCTCACTTTGTTCCTGATCAATGCAACAGTCTCTACTAACTTTCCTAACGCAGTCACTTATCCCTCCAATTTCTCATCTACGCTGTTGCCAAAGAAATTTTATAACGTATAATATGATCATCTTATTCCTCTGCTCCAAATTTTTCAATGCTTCCTGACCTCCTACAAGATAATGTAAACTCTTGTGCATGAGAGACACAGGTGCTAGATGACATACAGTTCCTGATTTCTTATCCAGCCTCATTTCTTACAATTCCTCACCTCATACTTATGTCCCAGGAATACTCAAGAATTCAGTTTCCAGAACACACCATGCCTATATATATCTATATCTATCTATCTATCTATCTATATATATAAGCATGTTAGTGCAAGATATATATATCTTGCACTAACACGTTTGCACTGCTTGTTCACAGTAAATTCTTGTCTCAGACTCTTCTTCCTCTGCAAAGACTTCCCTAACCTTTGCTATCTTAACCAAGGGCCTTCTTCTCCAGTATTCTTATGAACTTTGTACATGTTCTTCTTAAAGCAATTTTATTTTTCTATGATAGTTGTTTGAAAGCCTGCCTTCTATATTCTTAGCAATTTCAGGGAAAGGTCATGGCTTTTCATTTCACAGCACAGTGCCTTCCCATACTAGGCACCCAAATATTATATTTATTGATCCCTGCATATAAAGAACTTGTAATCTACTTAAGGAACGTGGTTATGTTCACAACAAAAGTTAAGTAACAATACAAAGCAGGATAAATCATTCCACCAGTTATTTCTAAACTTTGCAAAATGGAATTACCTTCGGTACTTTCAAAAATCCCAAAGTACAGACCGTACCCCAGACCAATCAAATCACAATCTGTGGGGCTGGAACACAGGCATCAATATTTCTTGAAGTTCCCCATGAGATTCTGATGTCCAGACAAGTTTGGAAACCACAGCAGTTACAGAAGGAGTGGCTAAGAAAAACTTCACGAATGTCCAGTTTGAGCTATGGTTTTCAAGTGGTTTAAGCTGTGGAACGTCTAGAAGTTATAGCACACTCCTTGACACAGAGCATGTGAGCTCCTCTCTCTCTCTCTTCCCCTCCCTCCCTCTGTCCCATGCCTTCACCCCTGTTATCCCTGCTGCATAAAATACCCACACGTGTTCACTAGACAACTTCTTCACTCAAATCCCTCCTCCTGACTCTCACAGGCAGAAATAGGGGCTTGCTCCACAATCCACCCACTAAACTTTGTATATATTCCTTTTAAATTAAAAGCATATCAGCTGATACACTGTAAGTCATACCACCAATTTAATAACAACTTTGGGGTTAAAAAAAGAAATTCTACTAAACTAAATTCATATATATGTGTGTCTATTACTAGACACACTCTGATTTCAGAAAAGTTAAAATATGAAAAAAGTCAGGCCTAGAATCAAGGAAATACAGTATGTTTAACATTCCTACATGAACTAAATTCAGTTTTACAAACAAAGCAAAAATGTGACTATACTCTATATTTTAATTTTTAAAAATCACATTGGTATATGGTTCATCATTACAAATTTTATTATACTCTTAGGAAGATGTAAATATAAATTCAAGTAATAATCTACCTGAAAAATATTATAACGTTTCCCAAAAAGGAAGAAGAAAGAAATTATCATACATTAATAACATATATGTTTTAAAGTAATGAATTTTCTTACCTGAGTAGTGAATAAGGCTGTGTTTGAAAGATCAATAAATCATTACAATGACCCTAGTCAACACAAAAAAGGAGTTATCAAGACTTTTGATAAAAATAAAATACATTAATAATTGGATATTTTTATTGTATAAATGTAAAAGAAATTATGTAAAGCAGCAAATAAATCTCTAACTATTCACACACACACACACACACACACACACACACACACAAATGTACACATACCTGCTAGCTACACAAACTTTAGATACGTGGTTACCATTTTTTCAGTGACCAAACGTCTACCTAACCACAGCCTATATAAATGAAAATTTTAAAATCAGAAACATGTTTTCCCTTTAAGACAGTGGTTTCAAAATGAGAACAGTAGTGGTTTTCAAGTTTTTTGGTTTTTAAGCAGAACTTTTTTCTTCCAAATGACTCATTTTAAAATCTCTTTATTCTGTCCCCCTTTTCCAGGTGAAAGATTCTCTGGGAATTCCTAATTTGAAAATCACAGATCCAGAAGATTTTTTGAATAATGACTCCTTCATCTAAAAGTTAATGTGGAGGAGTCAGCAGAAAATTTTTCTAATACTTTCAAATAGGTCTTTAGAATTTCATAATTTATGATCTTGATTTTAATCAGAATTCATATTTTAATGATAAACTTTATATCCTAAATAAAGATTTCTAGTGCCAAGAAAAAGAAGACAAACCACAAAAGTTGCTTTTTAAGTAAAGTTGTGGTTTTAATCTTTTATTGAAGCACTGAATTCTCGGCCAAAGAAAGTTCTAAAACTTTCACTACACATAACATTTAAGTTGGAGGCCTCAGAACCTCAAAATAAACCAAATTCCCTGGAGAAAAGCCACCTTATCTCAGGGTTCACCACTCCATAGGAACAACTCTGGAGATAACTACGCCTGAAGAGGTGAAAGGGCACTGGGGCCCTCTGGTGGGCTCTGTCTCATTGCAGCCCATCCCTGACGGCTCAGCGCCTGCCATTCCCAAGTGTCCTATGCAAACCAGAGCGATCAATCCTGAGCTCCTGGCCCATCATGTACAGAATGTAAGTGTGGCCATCTCTCTGAATTTCCCAAGGTGCAAGGAGTGGAAGAAAAATACTTCCCAAATGCTACTCGTTTATTCCTTTCACTTTAGTTTTATCAGATTTTAAAATGAGAATGCTTTAAACTCAAATGTAAAACAGGGGTGAAGCAGTGGCAAAAGGCACATAAAATAAAAAAAAAATACACTTTAAACATGCTATAGTAGTTTCCTCTTGAAGGGAGAAGCTAGCCTTGATAATGTTCTAGTTATAAAGTTAGGTAGCAAATTTCACAAGTACTTATTATTATACTTATTAGTTTACATATACTTTATATATATTCTTTATATGCACCAAATATTGTGTACAAATACTTTAATTCAATAAAATTATCAACACTCGGGACTACGGGGAGGGTCAAAGAGAAATGAAGATTCATCCTTTAGAAGCTCTTGTTAATAATTTGACTAATGAAGTTAATAGACCTATTTTGATTTGTAAACCCCAAATATCCTGCAATGCTTCACAAAAGCCACTCATTCTGAAGATTAATCGTACAACAGTGTAACATTTCATGCCCTTCCATATTTTTCAATGTGGGAGTATCAACAATCTTTTTGAACAGCCATTTAGTTTGAATAACACAATTACTCAGAGGAAATATTTAGAATTGAAATTTTCTTACTGTATCCAAGGAAAGTAAATCATCTTTGCTCCCACCAAATACCATTATTTCATTTTCTTTTCCCAAACAGGCTGTGTGCCATAACCTATGATTGAAAATTATAAACAGTGAAATACTATCAAGGAAGAAACTGTACATGACATATAAACCAATTTTAAATTGCACACTCTAAAATTTAATCTATTTCAAAAGGGGTATGACTGAACTTGAGCCTTTGTCATAACCTCAAAGGGGTTAGATTTTAAAGATTTCTCTAGAATTATTAGAGAATTAGATTCTAGGGTTCATTAAATCACATTGTTTCAATGAAAGAGAGGCTTCCCTATAACTCTTTCTTATTATATCCTCCGACCTTTTTCTAAACTCTTTATCTCACAGATATTATCATGATATAAAACAATTTTAAAAAGAACTGATCAGCCTATTGCAGAAACAGTTTTCTTATTGCTATCTGCCACGATGCTGTTCTCATCATTTTGACTTCCTTCCCTGTTCTCTGGTCCCCACCACCGGACAAATCCAATTGGTCATTCTCTTTACATTAATATTGTCGCACTACTTATCACCCTGGGTACAGAATACCACACACATTCCTTATTTCTCTGTCTCTAATCTCTTCCAGCTACTTATAGCTGATAAATAATATTTTTCAAATATTTATTGTTTTTAACCATGGACATTTCCTGATCAGGAAGCATCTCTGCCACTTTTCTCAGCCAAAAATTTATGATCAATAGCTATTTTTTTCCCACAAATTTTAATTCTTGCCTTTCCCCAAATGAACCCTCTATTTCAGCCAAGTCCATTTATTCCCTAAGAGAAAAGCTTGTACCACTTTCTAGGCTTTTGTTAGTTCACCCTGCTTCTTGGGCTTAAAATGAGAAGTCTTTCTCTCAGAGCCTTAAAAACAGGCTCAAAAAAAAAAAAAAAAAACAGGCTCAAAATCTCCAGGAAGTGTTCCAAATACCACCCAGATTGGTTCTGTTACCCTCTCTGTTCAGCACCTTTCAACATTTATATGCTTATTTTATAATCTCCTAACTCACATTTGAAGACAAATTGCTCTATATACTACTTTAATTGTTTGATGTAATTTGTCTCCTAACTCCCTACCGAGACTATATATAAGGTCCTTAAGGTCAAAAATGGCCCCAGTGGTGTAAAGCCGACTGTGCCTATCAACTCCATGTTCAGTGATATCACATTGGCCATGGTGCAAATCAGCAAATGCTACAAACTAGGGCTTTTCTTTTTTTTGGTTTTGTTTTTCCTGGAGAGCGGTTGTTAACTGTTTACCAGCACACCACTGGAATTTGGGTAATCTAATTTTATATTCTTAAAAATGCTTAATAGGGTGTTCTGCATCCAGCAGGTGCTCAAAAACTTCTGATTAACAAAAGCAAACACAAAATACTAGCATAATTTACTCAGTGATTAAATAAACAAATTATTTCATAAAGAAGCAGAGCATCTAATGCTGTTTTGGAAATGGTCTGATAGCTCATATCCATCTCTAATTTCACATTATTTACCAAAAATAATGTTACAGTTTTATAAAATTTAATGTTTCTGTGGGTCTAACTGAGAAAAAAGTACACATAAATTTCTCAATTTTAGAAAATAAATGATAAGTTTTACAGAATCATTGCTTTGCCTCTGAGAGTACTTGATTACTTTTTTTTTTTTTGGCCGCACTGTGCAGCATGTGGGATCTTAGTTCCCCAAATCCGTGCCCCCTGCATTGGGAGTGTGGAGTCTTAACCATTGGACCACCAGGGAAGTCCCACTTTTCTTTCTTTCTTTTTTTTTTTTTTGGTACGCGGGCCTCTCACTGTTGTGGCCTCTCCCGTTGCGGAGCACAGGCTCCGGACGCTCAGGCCCAGCGGCCATGGCTCACGGGCCCAGCCGCTCCGCGGCATGTGGGATCTTCCCGGACCAGGGCACGAACCCGTGTCCCCAGCATCGGCAGGTGGACTCTCAACCACTGGGCCACCAGGGAAGCCCCCACTTTTCTTAATAGACCAAATTGCTGAAGCATCGGATGCCCCAAACAATTACATATTATCATGTCTTTTATTACCACATAACTTATTTTTAGTACATTTATCCTTTTAATTTCCACAAATGCAAACAATTGGCTTATGCACAATTTGTTTAAATAGTTTTCTCAAACAATCATGACACATTCAAGGACAAATGCACTTGGGACCCAGAATAGGACCGAGTCATTAGAAATTTTGTTTGTGAAATACTCTGCCCAATTCTCCAACTTGTATGTTAGAACATAAATTCACACAGATCTTCAGCAACACTCAGATTATGCTGTGGGGTTGGGGATGGGGATTGGAGGAGGGACTGAGGGAAGGAGATCGAGTATAACAAATTCCCTCATAGGAAGGAATAGCTTAATTTCCAGGACAGAAAGCCATGTGTAACCTTGGAAATACTCATGAATCCAACAATGCCTAAGGCTCTATATATCAACACCTATGGGACATCTTTTACAGACACACAAAAAAGGGACCTTGCTGATACCCACCTATATAAGCGATCAGATATGGCTACATAGATGGCTATTCACCCAAGCACAGTTTTATCTAAGATGACACTTGGAGAAGAGGGTGTTACACTGTAGGACGGTGGTTCTCAACCAGGGATGATTTTGCCCCCAGGGGGACATTTGACAATATCTGGAGATATTTCTGATTGTCACAATTCCAGGTGTGTGTTGGGGGAGGGTGGGGGGAGTGGGCGCAGTACTACAGGCATCTACTGGGTAAAGGCCAGAGATGCTTCTACACATGCACAGGATACCCCTAACAGCAAAGAATAATTTGGTCCAAAATGTCAATAGTACCAAAGTTAAGAAACTTTCCACAGAATTACAAGAGGAGAATTGGGCAGCTTACATTTCAAATTATAACTTGGAAAAGTTTTCACAATATACATTTAAATGTTAAGTAAATTCTTACTTTCATAAAAAATTAGTATATATACACATATATATGTTCTCCTTACACTAAACTGTATCTCACCTGTTCTCCTCCTCACCTCATACCTGAAGATAGATCTGCCTCTGTCTTACCTGCCTTAGGAAAACTCTGGCCTGGACTTCCATCATCGAGGAACACTGGAAAGCCTTTCCTGCCTTGATTTTGGTGACATCTAGCTTGCAACCTGATGTTCTTTTTTACAGACAGCTTATGTCCTCTCACAGCTGCTCTAAACTTATTACCTAAACATTCTAATAAAGCATATGATTTACATGACACATTAGCGGAATTCAAAGAAATCGCTTTACATAACTCAGTTCTAACTATATATTACTGATAATATTTCTATGGCTCTGATTACTCATTAAGGATTGAAATATAAAATAGGAGCAATTGAAAATTAAACATATTCTTACCACCACTTTGGTCTATAATTAATTCATTCACACAATCAAACAACTGGAAGAGAACTAAGAGCTCATCTAGTCCAACTCCCTCATTTCATAATGAAGAAATTGATGCTCAGTTTCTTTAAGTGACTTTCCCAAAGCCAAAAAGCTAAGTGGTAGCTGAGCAAGGACTAGAACACTGGGCTCCTGAATTTAATATAAAACTCTTTAAACAATATATTTCAAAAGATCCAGAATTGCTAAAATAATACATTCCACTGAATTTTTATACATGAAAATATAAGAATGTAGTTATGATACACATGTAGTTATGATAAACTCTAAATGTATTGTGCATATTAATATAGATATACACAATGATATATGTATATATATTTACATATAAATATTTTCAGGCCTTTTTCTCAAGTAAGTTACTTGTTATTAAATGTCTAAAATGCATATCGCCTTATGCATTAATATATCATTGACTAACTTCACATTAATATAAATAATCTATAGTAAAAAATATTCTGAAATACATGGCATGAAAAAAATAAAATTACTAACCATAATGATTATAAGGTACTGAATTTGAATCTCCTATGAATATATATCATACTATTCAATCAAATAAGAAAAAAATACAGTACGAATGTGATTTTCTTTGCAGTCTAATAATAGTATATTTTTCTACAGTTTTTTACTCTATAATATACCACAAACAACTGTTTCCTTTTTTAATAAATTTACATTAATGAATACATCATACAGTTAATAAAGAAAAATAATAATCTGTCATCTACTTGATCAACATGAAAGAAATTTCCTCATTAAATTGCTCTAAATCTCTTCCAAACCCAAATAACTACTACTAAAGCCAACCCCATTCTTGTCTACTTATTAAAAATATTAACATTATATCATACTTTCAATTTCTTAGCCTTTTCACATTTATCAGGCAAGATTATACATTTACCTAAAAGAATAAAATTTTCAAATATACAAATACGGATAGAAACTGAATAGTTCCTTTCTACAATCAGATATAATTAGAATTATAGTTAAATTATTTGGGTAACATCACGCTTATTTGAAAGATATCCTTCCTGATGGTTTCTGGTTTTAACGGCAAACACTATAAATTCAGTGCTACATTTAATACTTTAAAATTTTTAACTATTTTACTTATTTGTCAACTTCTAGACTTACCTGGGTTTTGTTTTAGGTAAATGTGTAAGCTGTTTCCAACAATTTGTTAAGACATTATGAATCCAACCATCACCTGCAATATTATGACAGTTCAGAAATTAAGATTAGGTGTTTGGGATAAAATTTTAATTTTTTCCCCAAATTTATCATGCTACATTTATATGACTATTTTTTGTGCATGTGCATATTTTATCATAAAAATTCTCAAACATGTACGAAAGTCAAGTGAACATGACAACGAACCTTCACATAACCCAGATTCAACAACTACTAAGATTTTACCATATGTGCTCCATTTATCTCTTTTTGTTATTCTTGTTGCTGAATTCTTCTAAAACAAATCCTAGCTCTTATCATTTTCTCCAAACATATTTCAGTGAGCAACACTAAAAAAAATTGGACATTTTTTACACAGCCACCATGTTATTATCACTTAACCACAATGCCACCATCACAGTCAACAAAACTATAAGTAATTTCTCGGTATCATCTGATACCCATATGACCATTTCTTCAGCTGAATCTTTGAGGGAGGAAACTGACTAGACTAGGAGTTAGGACATTTAATTCTCCATAGTTCAATGATGAAAAAAAGCAAATAGGAATTTGAAACAGTAGAGCTCATGAAGATACGATATTAAACAACTGTTAGTGAAATGGATAGATTTTAGGATTTTTTTTCTTCCAGTTTTATTGAGATATAATTGACATACAATACTGTATATATTTAAGATGTATAGATGTTAGTTTTTTTTTTTTTTTTCTTGCGGCACGCGGGCCTCTCACTGCTGTGGCCTCTCCCGTTGCGGAGCACAGGCTCCGGACGCTCAGGATCAGCGGCCATGGCTCACGGGCCCAGCTGCTCCACGGCATGTGGGATCTTCCTGGACCGGGGCACGAACCCGTGTCCCCCGCATCGGTAGGCGGACTCTCAACCACTGCACCACCATGGAAGCCCGATGTTAGTTTTTAAATTAGATTCCAAATCCTTTTTAATTAAATACCCCACAAATTAGAGAAGTATAATAATCTACAGTAACTAACATCCCCTAGAGGAACTGCTGTTCCTCCAGCCAGCATCTGGCATTTCTTGGCCAGAAGACTGCCAGATACACAGTTGATGCTCAATAAATTTTTGTTGAAAAACAAATAGTTGTTTTTCGATCCTATATAAAATTATATAAATGGTTTTAATGGTATATAAAGTTTCTTAAGAAAAATGTCTCTAGCCATAGAAAACTTCTGCGTTAAATTACAAGACACTTGTCAAACTAAGTGGATATTCTTGGTCACTTGTCTTTCTTGGTGCCACAATTATACTAGTGAAAGAAAAACTGTATTACAAAAATCACAGCCATTGGGATGAGCAGTAACAGGAGTTTAAAAACTCTAGCTAAGCACTTTCCTTTATAGTTCTGGAACAAAAAGAGAAGCAACTGGCCTTCCCACCTTGTATTTCTAGAGCTTCCTGGGAAACGTTCCTCTTCTAATCCCCATTCTAGCCTATAGTATAAGCATCTGGATCAAAAATTAGGAAGACACAAAATCAGAAATACTACAGTTGAAAGGGTCTTTAATTCCTCTAGGTTCAACCACTTTTCCTTTCCCTACACTAGGAAACAGGAGAACTTAGACAAGCAAGGGTACGGAAGGAAAGGGGCCTTCTACTTCTCATTCATGATGCAACCACATAGTTGGGGATAAAGGTAAACCAGAAAATCAGAAAAGTAAAAATACCTTAAGTATCAAATACAATCAGGTTAAAAAAAAGAATAAAATTTTAACTGTAGGTTAAACTTTAATCAACTTACTTAATGGAATATTGTCTGCACTTAGTCCACCAAATAGGAAAAGCGTATCATCAGCTATTGGTGTTAAAGTATGCCATGACCGATGTTTGGGGTTTTCTCCATTAATTGGAATCCTGTGGTGAGGGAAAAAAATAGAAGAATCTAAGTACTGTGTTAGTCAAAACAAAATTTTTCTGATCATCTCAGATCTCAAAAGAAAAAACTGCCCTCCCTAGTATAAAAAATTTTGATTCTACTAATCCTACCTACAAGAATATTTTTAAAACATTCTTAAATTCTTGAAGAATTTACACAATTTCTTTCCATTTAATGTCTATCCCACTTGGCCAGAACACAGACTGAAAATTAAAAAGTCAATTCCTAGTTATTCACAACGCATACTGAGCATCATTCCTACTGAAACCAAGCTGGACCCGGTGGGGCTCCTGGGCACAAGAGCCTTTCCGTGTCCCCTTCCCTGAGTTCCAAAGGGTAGGTTCAAACAGCTGCTAATCAGGGAAGGGAGAGGATGCAGACACAAGGGAGGAGCAGTCAAGAAACAATAGTGCAGCCTTTGGGCAGGGTCCTGGTTCTGCCTCAAGGGACACACATAATATCTTTGAGCTCTTCTGCTGAACTGAAACCTCCACCAAATGCAAGATGTTAACTACATGATGAAGCATGTTTCATTCCAGAGAAGGTCACAGTTTGCCCATCACCACCTGACGCCAGATGACCTCTGGATTGAAGGAATGTGGGCCCTGCACGTACCCTGATCCTTATCAGCAACCCCGCCCCTGGACTATAAGACTCCTCACAGGCTCCCCCTGGTTGGGACACACAGTTCTGAGGGCATTAGCTTGCTGTGGCTCCCTTTGCCTAGCAAAGCAATAAAGCTATTCTTTATTACTTCACCCAAAACTCTGTCTCCGAGATTTAATTTTGTGTCAGTGTTCAGAGGCTGGATTTGGCTTCACTGTTAGTTAATCAGTAAGACTTCCTCAGGTTTTTAACAGAAATGTTTTCATGTCTGTCATTTTTTACTGTTGTTTCACATTTAATTTTGTATTTTCAGCTGACTTCCTTAAGGATATTATGGAATTTTGTTGTTGCTGTTGCTGTTTACTTTGGTCTATTTATTGTAGAATTTCCCGAAAATGCTACTCTAACTTCACAATAAAAGTATGCAAGCCACTCCAGATCCGGGATAAACCTCTAAAGATTTCAAACAAATACTGTCATATTCTTAAAATGAAAACAGAAATAAAAACATAAGCACAGGGACTTCTCTGGCCATCTAGTGGTTAAGACTCCATGCTTCCACTGCAGTGGGCATGGGTTTGATCCCTGGTCGGGGAACTAAGATCCCACATGCCACATGGTGCAGCCAAACAAAACGAAACAAAACCATAAGCACAAAACTTTAACTAATTTAGGAGGTGAGGTCACACCATTCTCCAACATTCTGGAATGATCCAGAATAACATGGGCCGTTGGTAGAAGATGTAATTTATTTTTTCCAAAATGGAAATATTTTTACTGTTTTTGTTAACTATAAAAAACATTTGGGTTACAACACATTCAACAACCACAAAAATAGTTTTTAAAAGGGACAGTTCTCCTATAATCCTGTCCTCCAGCAATAAGAAACATTAATAATTTGGTATATATCTCTCCTAACTTTAATGCACATATAAAGACATTTATTAAAAATATACAAATAGGATCATATACTCTGTTCAATTTTTTTCATTCAACTAATATATTTCAGAATATTTCCATGAAGCATATTGTCCTTTGGTAATGGAAGTACAGCAGCTCATTGGGCAAATGCACCATGATTTAAACAACCCCCACTTACGGACATGAGGGTTGATGTCATGTTTTTGCTTTTATAAATAATGTTGCAATAAACATCTTTGTTGTGTGTGCACACACACATACATATATGCACACACATATAAACACTTGTCCAATTTTTGTCTTAGGAGAAATTCTGGATCAAAGTAGAAATTCCATTTTATATTTTAAACATATTACCAGACTACCTTCCAGAAAATTATACCAATTTAAACTCCCACTAATTGTGTTACAACCTAGCACAAACTGATCATTTGTAATTATTTTTATCCGGTAAGTGAAACTATTATTTTTATTTCAATTTCTTTAATAATTTATGAAGTTGGACATCTTTTAAAAATAATTTCTGCATATTTGTATTTCTTCTATGAGTTGCTCATTTCATGTTCTTTGTTCACTTTTATTGGCCTGTTTGTCTTTTTCTTACTGATTTTCTGAGTTCTTATGAATCTTAGCCCTTTTGGTTAGAAATACTGTAAATATTACTTCTAGTTTGTTTTTTGTTTGCATTTTCCAATTTGCTTTTTAACTTTTTGTGGTATATATTTCTACACAGAAATATTTAATTCTTAAATGGTCTTATCAATCAGTCTTTTAATTTATGAATTTTGGGTTTATATCATCTTTATAAAAGCTTTTTCCATGCCAAGATTTTAAAGATAATCTGCTATATTTTCTTCTAGCACGTTTGAGGTTTTATTTCTAATAGTATTTATACTTTGGCATAATATATAGGTCTGATTCCAAATCATTACATGAACAGCTGAATTGATAGCTAAATATATTTATTCTATTGCTAAATATATATTATGAGCAGTAAAATCAGAATTTGACTCACTCGGTTATCTGTTGACCTGTGATGATCCCATTAAAACTTCATTTGTTCTACTGACCAGTCCTCAAGAATATGTAGTATAAAACCAGTACTTTTACATAATCAATTTTCAACTGCTAGTGTTCTCATGTTTTATATAGTCTAGTTAAAGAACGAACTCTATATTGAAATCTATATATTCCTTGCTTAAGCAAAAAATCTGAAGGGGAAGAAAATATCAGTTCAGTTTTACAGATACAAGTTTGGGTTATACCATGCATGTGTGCACACGTCTGTGCAGGCAGATACACACACACACACACACCCCACACACAAAAATGCCTACAGATTAAAACATACTTAAATTTCGAACTTACCTTCCAGACCAGGTCCAGGTATCTAAGTTTAGATAGTGCAAATCATTCATCCTAGTTTGCTAAAATAAAAGTGTATGAAATTGGTCAGTGTTTTACATATTTCATGGGCTAAAATTTTGGTTTTAAAATAAATTCAGATTAAAAATGGATTAACTCTATTTTACTTAACATCAGAAGTTTATATATTGGGAAACAATGCTAAGCATTAATAAAATTAGCATAGAGCTACCAAATTAATGTGTAAAGGGGGAAGGGAAAAAATGAGTTTAAACTAACAAGATTTAGATAATAAGAAATTAAACTTTTCTGATAAATCACTGGAGTGAAGGATTCTCCCCCATTAAAATATGATTTATAATCACCTGTGATTACTCATGTATGGTCCGTTTAGGGAATAGAAGATTTTAAAAAGTTATTATTGAATGACATTTTAATCTCTAGACTATTTGAATGTTCAGCTATTCCACAAAATCAAAGGATCAATTTTTGTAAGAAGCATCAAAGATTAAAGACCATTTTCATAAAAAACACTAACCAAAACTCGTCCGCCAAAGATATAGCCCTTATTTCCGAGAACTGCACACGTATGCGCGGCTCGTGGCTGCGGTGGAACACCACCCTGCAAGCAGAGATCAGAAAATGGAGAGCAGAGGCTTGAAACATCTATAATGAAGTCACATTCCTATGCTCAGTATGAGAAATACTTGACTGCTAAGTTACCATTACCTATGTAACTTAATTCAAAACCTTAATGCAAAAGTTCGTTCTCAATAGTAATAATTATAGACAAATACTACTCTTAAGGAATTACATTTATTCACCCTGATTTTTACTTTTTTTTACAATATTGACTGATTTATTTTTTTTTAATTAATTTTTTTTTTTTTTTTGGCTGTGTTGGGTCTTATTTGCAGCATGTAGTATCTTTTATTGTGGCACACGGGCTCTCTAGTTGAGGCATGCGGGCTCAGTAGTTGTGGTGTGAGGGCTTAGCTGCCCCACAGCAAACCAGGGATTGAACCCACGTGCCCTTCATTAGAAGGCAGATTCTTAATCACTGGACCACCAGGGAAGTCCCTGATCTTTACTTTTTAAAGTGTTTTTCTTAAATGCCTAACACTATTTGGCAAAATAAGATTTCACATAGGGACTTCCCTGGTGGTACAGTGGTTGGGAATCCGCCTGCCAGTGCAGGGGATATGGGTTCAAGCCCTGGTCCGGGAAAATCCCACATGCCATGGTGCAACTAAGCCCATGCGCCACAACTACTGACCCCGGGCGCCTAGAGCCCGTGCTCCGCAACAAGAGAAGCCACCGCAGTGAGAAGACCACAGTGAGGAGCCCGTGCACTGCAATGAAGAGTAGCCCCCGCTCGCCCCAACTAGAGAAAACCCGCACACAGCAAGGAAGACCCAACGCAGCCAAAATAAATAAATAAATGTATAAAAAAAAAATTTCACATAAATTTTAGCTTAAAATATAAATATTTAGGGCTTCCCTGGTGGCGCAGTGGTTGAGAGTCCGCCTGCCGATGCAGGGGACACAGGTTCGTGCCTCGGTCTGGGAAGATCCCACATGCCGCGGATCGGCTGGGCCCGTGAGCCATGGCCGCTGAGCCTGCGCTTCCGGAGCCTGTGCTCCGCAATGGGAGAGGCCACAGCAGTGAAAGGCCCGCGTACCGGAAAAAAAAAAAAAAAAAAAAAAATATAAATATATATATATATATATATATATATTTTTTAAAACATTTTCTTTCTCTCCCTTGCCCATCCCACCCCCTCTTTTCCTCCCTTTTCCTCTCTCTTTTCTCTCCCCCTCTCTCTCACTCATACACACACAGAGACACACACAGACAGAGTTAATATTAATATGAGTGAGCAGTACACTGTGTGATGATCTCAGAGACTTAAAAAAAATCAATCTGCCCCCCAAAACTCTTGATGCTTCAAATTCCACAATAAGAACTTCATTCTTGGCTTAAGCCAGTGTTTAGCTCTTACTAAAACTCTTCACATTAACTGATAATACTTCTTTATACTTTACTTTGAATAAATATAGCAGAACTTTTCTTCAGAGAAGTTTGGGGTTGGTGGGAAAAGAGAGGGTATAATGGGTAGATTAATGAATAAGGTTTGAAGGAAGAATTTTCTGCATAATTTCCATGTGTTCATGGTGGGTACTTCTGTGTATGTATTTAATTCCAAGTTCTGAAAGAACCCAACATTTTCAGCTCATTGGCTACCAAATGGGGGCACAGGAAATTTAAGCACTACATCCAATATCATAACCTCCTAGAATTTTTTACTTGAATAATTATGAGGTCAAAATGGTAAGAAATAATTCAGATATTACCTATATAACACTTAAATAAATGAGAGAGAACCATAAATGAGAAAGAACCATTTGTGTTGCAGTTCCCAATACTTCCAACAAAACAAAAGTTTTATTGCCCCATCCCTGATCTGAAATTCTGGAAAAATTCTTCTACTATATACACATTCATTATGAAATAAATATTGACTTTCTCCTTTTTTATTTATGAAATACATTTAATATCCAACCAAAGCTTCTGAATAAACTGAGTTCATACCGGTCCAAACAAAAACAAAGTAATGGCATTTGCATTAGCCTGTGTGGCTAACTGCATAAATAATGCACAGTGCTTATGAGGTCATTTGAAATACTGAAAATAACCCAAAGACCACTATTATATTCTACTGTTCTCATAGGGTTATAAGTCCCATGTAGGAAAACACTGTCAACTTTCCATTTAACAGATGACATTATATGGCTTATCTAAAAGTACACAGTTCTTTTCAACCAGTTTCTTCAACTTCAACAGCAATAACTCTAACACTCTACCATGTTACCTTTCCTTTTGCTGCAGATATTTAGGAACAATTAATTAATTTAAGAATGTCTCTAAAAAATAAAGGGAACAAATTCTAGCTGCAACCACATCAGAAAAACCTTCAGATATAATATAAACAATGTAAGAACTTATTTGAAGAAATAATCAGAGAAATCACAGTGAAAATACTGTTAAACACTAACTGAAAGAGTGTCAGTGCCCGTTAGGCTGTTGGTGCAGAAGGGGGGAAGGGGTACGGATTAAGGTAAGGAGAGAGAGAAGGAATCACAACAGGAAGACCTGAAGTCCAAAGAACTAATTATAAGCTACCTCAGTTCACTTATCCCAAGGAGTACATTCTAAAAATATGCCTGCAGTAGCTCCAGACTCTTGCTTATTCTCTAAGGGAGCAGAGCGTTAAGAGGCCTGAAAGAGATCCAGGATGAGTTTCAGTAGATCCAGTCTCAATAATATTTCTCTCCACCTGCTTGCTGATACGAAATTATTTTAGCAGAGATAAGATGCTTTTATTTCATTAATACATAAATCTTAACATTAAAATGCTGACTGCAGGAAAATTCAATCAACAAATATGACCGACTGATAGTTGATCAGTTCCAAAATTAGAAGAGAACAGAAGAGCACTGAAAACCTGAAAAGCACTGCTTGGAAAAAGAGGATGCTGAGAAGGGTCAAACCTTGTAACACCTGCTATTTTGCACAGAACCTCCCTCACTACCATCTACAGAAGCTGAACTGCAAGGAAATTTAGTCATATGTGCATGTTAGTGGACAGAAATTTGGTTTTGCCTGTTCAGCATTCTATTCTGCACAGTTCCGTTGAGCTGACCAATCACAATACCTTGCTCCCCTAGGGACAGACCTGAGACTCAGACCTGGCCAGTCATCCCCTTGGCAGCAGGGACTCATATAGAGTAGGAACATGCCTAAGTAGAGCCAGAGTCCTTTTCTAGGACAAAGATATAGACATTGACAGAATACAGCACCAATAGAAAGATCTGCTGGTGTAGCCAGGGCCATATTCCCTTCTAAATGAGCTGGACAGTCTGCAGTAGACAGAATAAAGCTAGCACACAGAGAAGCAGGGAGAAGCCAACAGAGAGATGCAAATATTGTGATGGTGTTGGATAACTGGCTCCAGTTCCTAAGGTCCTGGTCCCTGTAGCTCTTCCACTGTGTGAGCCACTTCAAAATATACTTCCCAGCTATGTGAGAATTTTTTAATGGCGTAAACTAATGTGAATTTGTGTTTGCTCACTAGCAGATGAAAGAGTATTAAGATTTCGAGGGTTTATGAAACATGGGCTTTTTAAAATCATGGACTTTGTTACACAAGGACTTTTTAAGAGACTTCATTAAATCAGGGCATTACACGTGTGGGTAAAGAATGATGACGGCGCCTCTTTAGATTTTTCTAGAAAACCTTAGTTTAGCCTGGAGAAAAATATGTGATTAAAAAAAGTACTGATACAGATGAGGAAGATGGCGGAAGAGTAAGACTCGGAGATCACCTTCCTCCCCACAGATACACCAGAAATACATCTACGCGTGGAACAACTCCTACGGAGCACCTACTGAACGCTGGCAGAAGACCTCAGACCTCCCAAAAGGCAAGGAACCCCCCACGTACCTGGTTAGGGCAAAAGAAAAAAATAAACAGAGACAAAAGGCTAGGGACGGGTCCTGCACCAGCGGGAGGGAGCTGTGAAGGAGGAAGTGTCCACACACTAGAAAGCCCCTTCGCGGGCGGAGACTGCGGGTGGCGGAGTGGGGGAGCTTCGGAGCCGCGGAGGAGAGCACAGCAACAGGGGTGCGGAAGGCAAAGCAGAGAGATTCCAGCACAGAGGATCGGGCCGACCAGCACTCACCAGCCGAGAGGCTTGTCTGCTCGCCCGATGGGGCGGGTGGGGCTGGGAGCTGAGGCTCCGGCTTCTGTCGGAGCACCGGGAGAGGACTGAGGTTGGCTGCGTGAACACAGCCTGCAGGGTGTTAGTGCACCTCGGCTAGCCGGGAGGGAGTCGGGGAAAAGTCTGGACCTGCCGAAGAGGCAAGAGACTTTTTCTTCCCTCTTTGTTTCCTGGTGCACGAGGAGAGGGGATTAAGAACGCTGCTTAAGAGAGCTCCAGAGACGGGCGCGAGACGCGGCTAAAAGTACGGAGCCCAGAGACGGGCATGAGACGCTAAGGCCGCTGCCGCCGCCACCAAGAAGCCTGTGTGCAAACACAGGTCACTATCCACACCCCCTTCCGGGGAGCCTGTGCAGCCCGCCACTGCCAGGGTCCCGGGATCCAGGGACAACTCCCCCAGGAGAACGCACGGCACGCCTCAGGCTAGCCCAGGCCTCTGCCGCCGCAGGCCCGCCCCGCACTCCGTGACCCTCCCTACCCCCGGCCTGAGTGAGCCAGAACCTCTGAATCAGCGGCTCCTTTAACCCCGTCCTGTCTGAGCAAAGAACAGACGCCCTCCGGCAACCTACACGCACAGGCGGGGCCAAATCCAAAGCTGAGCTCCTGGGAGCTGTGAGAACAAAGAAGAGAAAGGGAAATCTCTCCCAGCAGCCGCAGAAGCAGCGGATTAAAGCTCCACAATCAACTTGATGTACCCTGCATCTGTGGAATACATGAATAGACAATGAATCATCCCAAATTAAGGAGCGGTGTGGATGAAAGGCTCTTGGTGCTGCAGCCAGGAGTTAGTGCTGTGCCTCTGAGGTGGGAGAGCCAACTTCAGGACACTGGTCCACAAGA